CGTAGGCATGGCGTACAGTAGCGTAGTGTTGCGTAGACCTGTGTACTTTCTGCGTATAGTGTCTACGCCGAAGGTACGCGAAAGCGTCCATCTCGCGTACCCAATTGCACCCCTCAGCGTTACGTAGGCCGGCGTAGGGTTGCGTACGCTCGGCGTAGTCGGTACGCAACACTACGCAACTCTACACAAGGCCCGGTGTGAAAGCCCCTTAAGGCCCGGTGCTCAAGAGGCGTTATTTAAATTGGCACCATTCAAAGGATTTAGTTAGGCATAGGCCTATATAAATACACAGAACCGATCCAGGCGCAATCTATATCTAGCCACATACCCAACCCTTGGAGTAGGGGCCGATGGCCAATAGTGCACGGTTTCGGATTCGTCCGAAAATCCAAACATCGAAAATGGGCGTAACTATAATTTATGATATGATTTTCCTTCAGCGTAGTGAGATCATCTGAAGGTTTTTTTTAAATACCATATGAACGCACCTTCCCGAGTTTCGAACCCGGGGGGGGGGGGGGGGGGGGGTGTTTTATAAAGCTGTTCGTAAAGGTACGCATGACTTTACAAACGACTTGTATATGAAAAGCCAAATGGGACGCTCAATCATTATTGATTATTATTTATTAAGTTGAACTGTGCAGATGTAGATTAACATTTTTATTATAACAACCATTTTTAATGCAAAGTATATTTTTTGCCATAATTTATTTGAGGTTATTGGAAATATCAGAAAAAACTTTGGGCATCCTACCTGGCACATCATATACAAGTCGTTCGTAAAGTCATGCGTAACTTTACGAACTCTTTATGAAACACCCCCAGGTCGCAAAGACTTTCCAGAAGTCACCTGAATTGCAATGTCAAAACCGTGATGCATTTGCCTGTAAGAAACATATGTTTAGATTACGTAATATATCATTGTCAAGTTTGCGTATTTCAGGAGGTGATGCACAATCATATAAATATTGTAAGTAGATATTTGAAAGCCTTTGCGATCGTGCTTTCGGTACAACAGGATTACCATAAGTATGTTTTGTTTTTAATTTAATTTTCATTCTAAATGTTTAGAAGATGAAGGTGAGTTGCTTTTAAAGGACGGACAGGATGATAACTGCGGCAGGGTGGAGATCTTTCACTATGACGAATCCTATAACGGCGTATGATATTTAAAGTATGGTATTTCAAAGTCTTTGCGATCGTGATTTTGGTACAACAGGATTTATTTTATTGTTATTCTAAAAAAATAGAATATGAAGGTGAGTTGCGTTTGATGGACGGACAGAGTGATAACTACGGCAGGGTGGAGATCTTTCACTACAACGAATCCCATAACGGCGTGTGGGGGTCGATTTGCAAGGACGGCTGGGGGTACGACGAAGCCAGAGTTGTTTGCACCCAGCTGGGCTTCCCTTATGTTGCATCACCCTTCCGGATCCCTTACTTTGGACCAGGCAATGGACCGATCCATCTGACAAACGTGGCATGCACTGGAATTGAAACATTTTTACCGTTCTGTCCACAACTTCACTGGGGCAAGAACAACTGCAGTCATGCTGATGTTGTTGGTGTTGAGTGTTCATACCCCCAGCCAACACTCGTCGCGCCCGAAGGTAAGGACGAACTCAATGCGTGTGAGTGTGTGTGTTTATGAGTGAGAATGACAGTTCTAATGGGATCGTTTCACATTAATGCAAGGTTCTTCATTTATCGGAGGTGAAAAGGGGGCTTTTATGAGAATGGGGAAATGGCTCTTATTACAAATAAAAAGAGGCACATGTTAAAATAAACGGGCTCTTATCAAGGACGAAAAGGGGTAACTATGAAAAGGGGAAGAGACGCTTATAAGAAGGGAAAAGAGCATTTATCAGAAAGAAAAAGGGGTACGTGTAAAAATAAAAGGGGCACTTTTCTTATGTAATAGGAAGGGGCACTGTGCTCTCCCGCCTGCCCCCTCCCCCGGAAGGGCCGCCTCTGGTTAGTATAGGAAATCAACGCATAGCAGGCGCGGATCCAGGATTTCTTAGGGGGGGGGGCCCACTTTTTTTTTTTTGGTCCGAAAAAAATCGTAACGACTTAGCCAGCCGCTAAATAAGCGGGGGGGGGGGGGGGGGGGGTGGGGGAAGAGGACACTTTTTTTTTGTCTCGAAATTTGAAAATTTGACATTTTGTTCTGTTGGGGGGGGGGGGGTGAGGTCACCTTTTTTAGGTCAGCCATTGGCATATTTTTTTATTTTTTTTTAAATTAAAAAAAAAAAAAATCACAGAAAAGGGGGGGGGGGTTGCTCCAAAATACACACATAAAAAAAACCGAAGGGGGTAGGGTCAACCCCCTAACCCCCTCCCCCCCTTCCGTACGTGCCTACTCGTCTGAAAATAGTTTTTCCCCTCCCGCGCAAAGCGCGGAAGCTTTTACGTTTCATTAAATCATTAGAAAATGAAGACGATTCGTTGTACAGTTTTTTTACTCTTAATCCTCGTCTTAATTCATCCCCCTCTCCCGCGCAAAGCTCGGAAGCTTTTACGTTTCATGAAATCATTAGAGAAAGAAGACGATTCGTTGTACCGTTCTCGACTCTTAATCCTCATCTGAATTCAGCTTGTATGTTTCATTAAATCAGACGATTCGTTGTACCGTTCTCGAAAATAATCCTCGTCTGAATACAGCTTTTACGTTTAATTAAATCATTAGCGAAATAAGACGATTCGTTGTACCGTTATGACTTTAAATCCTTGTCTAAATTCAGTTTTCCCACTCCCACGCGAAGCGCGGAAGCTTTTACGTTTCATTAAATCATTAAAGAAAGAAGACGATTCGTTGTACCGTTCTCGACTCTTAATCCTTGTCTGAATTTCAAATATGTTCTTTGTCTATTCCCTTTTCTTCCTACGTCCTCTTCCTTTACACTCCTCTCTTTTTTGGCCGGCGTTTATTGGGGAACAACCCCACCGCCCCCCTGGCTACGCGCCTGCTGTCAGATGAACATATGTTGATACCTTGTCCGCCCCGGAAGCTCAGGGATTTTAGGCGTTTAATTACGGTCAGATGAGCATTTTTGATACCTTATTATTTGTGACACTAGCAGGAAACTATTTGGCGTGGGGTCCAGGGGGCAGAGCCCAAAGAAAACAGGGGTTTTAGGCATTAAATGACCGTCATATGAGCATCTAAGGGCCCGCCTTAGGGCCCTAGGTGAAATCCAGGGGGCAGAGCCCTTAGGATTTTAGGCATTAATTTTAATCATGGTCAGAGGGGCATATTTTGATACCCCATTATAATGTGACACTGGCAGTTAACTATTTTTTCTTTCTCGCTCTCTTTCTTTCTATTTCTCTTTAATATACTTTTTCAAAGAAAGTGTAAGGGGAGGGGCTAGAGGATCCCGATCCCCGACGTTCCGCGGGCCCTGATATGTAGGCATCTCAAGAAGCATTTTCTTGCCTGGCTGTAAATTTAGGAATTTGTCATTTTCCAACAAACGCATGAAGTGAGGAAAATTATCTCATTTCAGCATTATTTGTTAACCACCGTTATGGAATTATAAATAAACCACGTTTGAATTTTATTTCTCCAACCCCCCCCCCCCTCCCCTATCAGTATGCCAGTGCCCCCCCCCCCCCCCCGCTCCGATCTACACCTTGTTGGCGGGAAAATTGCAACTGATATCCCTTACCTTTCTTCATTCTCCTTTTTTCCCTTTCCCTTTCTCTCCTCTTTCACTTTCCCTTCCCTATCTCTCTTTTAGGTTTGCTGGGGGGGGGGGGGGGGGGGGAGGGGGAGGGGTACGGTCTTTTTGGTCCCCAACCCGCTCCACACATTGGTGGCAGGATTAACCGCAACTGATCTCCGCTTCTTTTCTCCCTCTTCTTTTTTCTTCCTCTTTTTGTTCCCTTTTAGCTCTCCTCTTTTCCTTTCCCTTCCTTTTCTCTTTTTTAAGCGGGGACGGGGGGGGGGGAGGGGGGGGGGGAGGCTAGGGTCTTTTGCCCCCCCCTCGATCCACAACTTGTTGGCGGGAAAATTGCAACTGATATCCCCCTTCTTTTCTTTTCTTCTTCCTATTTTGTCCTTCCCTTTATCTCCTCTTTATCTTTTTTCTTTCCCTTTCCTTCCTTCTCTTTTATTTTTTTTAATTGGGGGGGGGGGGGGGGGAGGGGGGAGGCAAGTCCTCCCCCCCGATCTCCTTCTTCCCTTTTTTCTTTTCTTCTTCCTCTTCTTTTTTTCCCTTTCTCTCCTCTTTCCCTTCTTTTCCTTCTCTCTCTCTCTCTCCTTTTTTTTTTTTTTTTGCGGGGGGGGGGGGGGGCAAGGCACGCTCGCCCCCCCCCCCTGGATCCGCGCCTGACGCATAGCAACTGTCGCAGGAGCAAGTGTCGAACAACCCCTTCAAGTAGGCCAATACCACTCCCTAGGAAACGACAGAATAACGAGTATAACGTTTGGTAACGCGGTTAAGTCGTCAATTGGCAACTAGCAAACCGAATCAACACAAACCAACAAGCAATAGGTTCTCATAGCTTTATAGATCAACTTCTATGACTCCTTAGATTGGTCAATAACACTTTATTTATTTCAAGAATAAATCATGTCACAATCATGACAATCATTTCATGAAAAGAAGTAAGAAATATGTATTCCTACTTCATGGACAGCATAGCATCTAAACGTACTTTATTGTGTTGTGTGTGTGTGTGTGGGTGTGTGCGTGTGTGTGCGTGTGTGTGTGCGTGTGTGTGTGCGTATGTGTGTGTGTATGGGGGGTTAGGGTTGAAGAATGGACAATACGGATTGGTAGTTATGAGCTGTACTTCACCTACTTTGTTGAATTTTCGATATATTTCACAATTTCTCAAATGTGGAACAGCTGAAGAGGGCTTCGTTCGTCTCAGAGATGGAATGTCAAATGACGAGGGACGAGTTGAAATCTACCATGACGGCGAGTGGGGAACAATCTGTGACGACTTTTGGGACGTCGCGGACGCAACTGTGGTCTGTAGATGGTTAGGCTACATGCGAGCCAGCAAGGCCAAATCAGCAGCCTTCTATGGCCCTGGTCACAACTTTCAGCCGATCTGGATGAGTAACGTCAATTGCACGGGGGAGGAAGTGGAATTATCTGCGTGTGCCAGCAGTGACTGGGGAGACAACCAATGCTCTCACCGAGAGGATGCATCAGTTATTTGTACTAATTTGTCAGGTATTTTCTATTTGTTTTTGTATTTGAAGAGTTTATTTCCAAAAGGATTTACCAGCTTTTGTACAGGCATCTATGTACTTAAGTGAACAATGTTCTGATATCACTAACTCAATTTTCATCAAGAGGGGATTTAGCTCCTTTTGGAATTAAGCTCTTCATTTTCAAAAATGTTAACACTAAGGCCTGGTGCCTGTTATTTAAATTCGTACCATTCAAAGGATTTAGTCAGGCATATATAAATATACAGAACCGATCCAGGCGCAATCTATATCTAGCCACATACCCAACCCTTGGAGCTGGAGTAGGGGCCGCTGGCCAATAGTGCACGGTTTCGGATTCGTCCGAAAATGGGCGTAACTATATAATTTATGATATGATTTTCCTTCAGCGTAGTGAGATCATCTGAAGGTTTTAAAAAATACCATATTAACGCACCTTCCTGAGTTTCGAACGCGGTCGCTTAGACTTTCCAGAAGTCACCTGAATTGCAATGTCAAAAGCGTGATGCATTTGCCTGTAAGAAACATAATGTTTAGATTACGTAATATGTCATTGTCATGTTTGCGCATTTCAGGAGGTGATGCACAATCATGATATTGCTATCGTAAGTGGATATTTATAAGGCTTTGCGATCGTGCTTTCGGTATATACAACATGATTACCATAAGTATGTTTTGTTTTTTATTTTATTTTTATTCCCAAATGTTTAGAAGATGAAGGTGAGCTGCGTTTGATGGACGGAAAGGATGATAACTACGGAAGGGTGGAGATCTTTCACTACAACGAATCCCATAACGGCGTGTGGGGGTCGATTTGCAAAGACGGATGGGGGTACGACGAAGCCCGAGTTGTTTGCAACCAGCTGGGCTTCCCCTATGTTGCATTACCCTTCCGGATCCCTTACTTTGGACCAGGCAGTGGACCGATCCATCTGACAAACGTGGCATGCACTGGAACTGAAATATATTTACCGTTCTGTCTACAACTTCACTGGGGCAAGAACAACTGTAGTCATGCTGATGTTGTTGGTGTTGAGTGTTCCGACTTCCAGTACGGCCCGACAACATTCCCCGCGCCCATAGCCGGTAACGACGAACTCAGTGTTTGTTTATGAGAGAGAGAGAGAGAGAGAGAGATAGAGAGAGAGAGAGAGCGAGAGAGAGAGAGTGTGTGTTCTGTTGGGATTGATCTACATTGCTGCAAGGTTCTTCATTTATCGGAGGTGAAAGGGGGCTTTATGAGAATGGGACGTGGGTCTTATGAAAAAAGGGGTGCACATGTTAAAGTAAACGGGGCACTTATCCAAAAATGAAAAGGGGTAATTATGAAAAGGGGAATGGACACTTATAAGAAGGAAAAAAGCATTTATTAGAAAGGAAAAGGGGCACGTGTAAAAATAAAAGGGGCACTTATCAGAGATGAAAAGCGGAAGGGGCACTTCTTACAAAGTTAAAGGGGCACTTTTCCTATGTAAAAGGGAGGAGCATTGTGCACCCCTGCCTGCCTCCTCCCCCGGAAGGGCCGCCTCTGGTTAGTATAGGAAATCAAAGCAGAGCAACTGTCGCAGGAGCAAGTGTCGAACAACCCCTTCAAGTAGGCCAATACCACTCCCTAGGAAACGACAGATTAACGAGTATAACGTTTGGTCACGCGGTTAAGTCGTCAAACGGCAACTAGCAAACCGAAACAACACAAACCAACAAGCAATATGTTATATCAATCTTCTGAAAAATTCGTTCTAGTTCATAAAACCCCCGTAGTGTTATAATTTCCTTTCATATTTGATTTCCTTTGAGATAAAGCTGAGTACTGGTCATGCGATTACATAGAGAAGGAAACTGAAAGCAAAACAGTGAAAATGGTTGAAAAGAAAGTGCATAAGAATAGTGTGAACTTTTGGAATATTCCAAATGACTCATAAACAATTTACCCAAGTTTGCTGAAACTGTCATAAAGTTCACACATTTGTTTTTGGTCAGATTTGTAAAATGGGAGCCTTGAAAGAGCAATCCTAATCAGGGTACTCTATTCTTCCAAATTGACATAAAATATTTTGAGAAGAATTGGAGAGCTCAAAGACTTTTCAGTCTTACACCACTCTCAACCTTCTCTTTGACATTTTTTATTATCATACAGAACATACTACAGCCTTAGCTGGCTGGTTGATTGCGATCATCGTGATTTCCTGTCTTGGTATCTGCGGAATGATCGTCGTCTTTGGTGCTGTTCTGTATTTCGCCAAGCAAGGATCTTCAAACGTCACTTCATCCCAAGGCCAAGGGTATCCCACCGCTGCCACCTTCTCTCCAGGGCAGCCGCCAATGGAGCTCCCACCATCATACACCAACGCGGTTGCATCCAGTTTCCCTGCAGAAAAGGATCCCTTAGATGAATTAAAACAAAAGGAGTGATTTTTCTTTAGGTGGGAAATGAGATAAATAGGAATGTGGAGAACATTACAAAATCATGGATGATTGCGAAGTAATGACTTTAATTCATTTTTAATCATTAGACCGGGGTCAAATTTTACCTATCTCCCCTCCTTTCTCCTCATCTTTGATGAAGGGGGGGGGGGGGTGGGGCATGTGGTCAGAGGGAAGGGCACGTTAATCCATGTCCCCTCAAGTACTCTGAAGTATCACATTATCAACCTAGCTGTAGCTGAGCTGCAATGATAAGGCGCTCAAGCATTCAATGATGCTTTCAATCTTTAAAACATTGTAGGAGGAAGGTCGCCATCTACTGTCGGACATCGTATTGGCGGTGCAATAGGCCAGTTTCGTAATGTATTCACAGACCTTTAAATCGCCTTACGTAATCGGAGGGTTGGTCAAACAAGAGACTCGCGATGCATAGCAGCCGACATTGTGCGTGCCTACAATACATGTTTTGACTATTGTCGAGGTGTGGTAAAAGAGAAGAAAAAGGGGGCAGTTTCAAACTTGAATAATAAATATCCTTGAGATACGATTTTGTTCTTCATACATTAATTTGATCTTTAAAATCGCTAAGTTTTAGGCGACAATAATGGGAAAGCATTGCAGCCAGACCAGTTCGGCCAAGTCCTCCCTGCTCACTAAAATTCATAGTTTGTTACAGAAATCGCGTAAATGGTCAATTTGGGTCGAAATGGCCAAAATGACCAAGTGGTACATCATTTCAATGAAATTATATGTTCTGATATCAACGCACATTTTTATACGGAATTTGCATGTCAAAACCCACTCATTGATTCCGACTGGCCCGATTTTGGGTTAAACATTTTGATTCGCAGTGCTTAAAATATTATAAACCTCTAGATATATCACGCATATTGTGTATGTACATACTACTCAAATAAATCCTTATGATCAGCTCTTGAGAAGATGAATGTTTGATACAAAATAAATGAAGATTTCTTCTGATTTTTCTGCTTTCATTGAACTCTATAATAAAGGTCGTTTTGTATTCCATTTAAGCGGTTACTTGAGAAAGTTTCTGAGCACAAAGTCTGAGTCATGCATTATGTTGAGAAGGCCTGTACATGAGGCATCCATAACGATATCTCACTCAATACAAAAATTCCCATAATCTAATCACACACACACACACACACACCCACACGCGCGTGCGCTCACACAGTCGGTCTGTACACGCATACATACAAACGACGCGCGCCAACAAACGGGCACACATAAATATGATTGATGATTTGAGTTTATTCATCCACAATGTGGAAATATGCTTTCCACCAGCATTACAATAATACGAGAAACAGAGTACAATAAAATGAACATATGAACAATTAATCAAACAATTTCAGAACAGAAAAGATCTCGTCATTTCACATAAATAATACAAAATTGTTTAAGCCATCCAAAATTGTTAAACTTGATTAGATGATTAAAAATATCTTTGAAATAGCTTTATGATAACAGTTTATAAATTCAATTAATTATGATCATTATTGCTATTGTTATTATTATTATTATTATTATTATTATTTTTATTATTATTATTATTATTATTATCTCTTAACGAATTGGTTGAACATGTGGATAGAGTTTGGTACGAAGGATTGGCGGAAGCGTGCTCGGTTTGTGCGTGGGACGTTCAATCGAATTCCAGAACGGTTGAAAGAATATACCTCCATACAAACACGATGCTCTTACGTGTACCTCAAGCATAACTTTTGATTTTAGAAATTGTTTCATCAAATACACTGTCGCTCATAAAGTTGGAATATTTTTGTTTTACCCCAATTTATATAATTATTTAAAAAATAATTTAAGAATAATAGATCTAGATAATAGTATACATTCTCAGATTTTATTTAATAATAGTTTGACAATGTGTGTTTTGCGTGACTGCTAAAGCATGTGTATGCTATAATGCTTATCAACTGGGGGACCTACGACCTTAAGCCATAAATGACAGTAATGAGGATTAATTCCCCACAAAAGGGCACTAATAAAGCACATCGACACGGTTTTGATCCTGGGGCCTCACAGTCACGAGGCCATTGCTTTGTCACTGAACGATGACTGTATGCAGTGGGGGCTAGGGTAGAGGGAAGTTTCCATAAATTAAAAAAAAACAGAAAATGCAATGAAATTTTCAATAATTTATTGCATTTTACCCCGGTTCCCAACATAAACAAATCCTATGTGTGCCCATGCCTTGAGCCATAATGCATGGCCGTCCAGAGGATTTGAAATGCCTGCGTTTGGATCAACTGAATATTCACTCCTAGTTTGCATTAAAGCAGCAGTGAAAAGAATAATGCTTGCCCAATATACTGCTTAAAGATAAACTTGAGTTCTGGTAAAAAAAAGAAAATTAATTCTTACAGAATCAAACGAAACTTACACTGAATGTTCAAGATTACAAATAAATGACATGTGCCAAACAATGTTGGAAGAGAATGTATACTGGCTGAGTAATGAGCATAGAAAGACAAGGAAATCAAGGTAGTACTAGCCCCGACACCATGTGTGTTGTCCCATATATAGCTTTCTGTGTACAGTGCTTGTTACTTTACCAAGACTCGGTCAAATTTATTATGATTTTGATGACTCCAGAACCTTGCAGTGCACACCAATACTTATATGCTACATGATCAACTGTTTCTGATCCTTTCCACACCTTTTCTTTCACAATGCAATCGCATTACCAGTACTAAAGTTTATCTTTAAAGAGAAGGTTGAGTTCTGGGGAGAGGTGAAAAATAATGGCGGTGAGCGTACCAAGCGGGCCCGCTTTAGAAACTCGTTTGTCCCTGATTCCATCCACATGTTCAATAGTAAAGTAATAAGATGAGATGATTCCTGAAGGTAATGGGAGAGGGGGGGGGGGGGGGGCGATACCGTTAATGTATTTTGGTACAAAGTATACTTTAACATTCAAAATGATTAATATTATTCATACATGAATATTTAAATTGAATATAAAGTTGTCAATGAGACCATATGATCATATAGTTAAAATTTAAAAGTATGATTTATTGTTCTAAAAAATTTTGTGTTGAGTTTATAAAGGTTAAGCTTAAATTATTAATATGACCCACTCACTGATTAATGAGCAATGTGTAACTTAAAATGTGTTCAATTGACCTATGCTTTATGTACTGTATATAGTTGTAACCATGTGAAAGAAGAATTACCACTTAATGTTGACAATAAAACAAATTAAATCAAAATCAAATCATTGTTATTATGCAAGTGTGGAGGAAAAAAAAGTTCCCTGGAAAGCATTCAAATGCCTCCATATTCTAAATATGACAAGTAACAGCTTAAAAATTAGAGCCGATATTTATGCCACATTAATTTGTGTAGTCCCATATATATTTTTCAGTGTACAGTGCTTGTTACTTTACCAAGATTGGGCAAAATTTTTTATCATTATGATGACTCCAGAAACTTGCAGTACACACCAATACTTAATTTGTTACATGGTCAACCTTTTCTGATCGATTCAACACCGTTTCTTTTTAATGCAATCACATGATCAGAACTCAACTTTGTCTTTGAGCACTAATGTTTATGTTTGCATAGCAACGATATGTGTAATCATCTAAAGCTCGATCTCACTTCACTCCCTTTCTCTTTTTTTTTCTCTCTCTCTCCTTTTCTCTCTTCCAATCACTCTCTATAGTCTCAACCTATAGGCCTACATGTATTATTCTTCGCTTCTCTTTTCTTTACTTCTACTTCAACAGGAACCCCCTCATTGATATCATTTTTTGTTTTTACAGTACTTAATCGTAATTTCTTTTTTAAATAAACGTTTAATTCATTCATAATGTGTTTTAATGTACACCGATGTTATTATGTATTCAGAAATTAATAAATAAAGCAATGACATGACATGACACTTCAACCGAACCCAATCAGACAAAATAAGCGCTAGATGTATGCAAGTTTGCTGATCAAAAATCCAAGGCTTCATCCAGAATATTTGACCTATATTTCGTGCACTCACTTATAACCCAGTCACACCACAGGACCGACAACAGATCGAACAAAATTTACATTGCCCTTTGATGGTAACGAATCGGTCGGTTAGGAGTCGATGTGAAGTCGGCTTGGCAGTGTGACTGAGGTTTCAACGTATACTACTGCATTTACATTTGGTCTACGTGCAGACAACATAAGGACGTCATTCGACCACGTGATCTGCTATTGCTTCCGAGATACACAAACACAGGTTGTGCGGTTATTGGCATAACAAGTACTTTTGTGTTGATTAAAAAGCCAGAAGTAGTTCTATAACCTGGACTACCTGTATGATATCGGATGTGATTTATTCCCAGAGTGTTCTCTGCACTCTTTTTGATAGAGCTTAATTAAAAACATAAAACAAAACTGATTGATCCCCTCACCATTGGCTAAAAACCTCATTATATCACTTGATAAAGATAAAGACATACTCTGTGCGAAGATGAATATTTAGACATTTGCTGTCATGCAATAGCATCACAAAGATATTTGGATATAGACAAAAACACCCCAACCCCACACACAAAAAGAGGAAATTATACTGACATATTCTGTAATTTCTGTTACATCTGAGCATTTAAATGGTTTTGAGCTCTATTTGAACACACTGAGATAACAACGTTGAAGGTACAGGAAGTATTCCCCCATCTTTCCCTCTTCAACAAGTAAGTGTGTCTAAAAAAGTAGACTAAAACGTCCTTGCCCCCGCTGTATTTTATGATAAGTTAATATTCTCATGACCCAGACGTTATATAGCATTGTAATACAAATATCACGTTGTTCGTTCATAAAAGGAATGTTTAGATACATCGCACTGTCTGCTAATATCTACAAATATTATTAAATTGTATCATATGAAATTATGAAGAGTTTTGGTCGAAAGTAACGATATCAAAATCACGTCCAATATTTGGGTACGTCAAAGCAGTCTGGAAACACAGACTATCTTCGATCAGCGACAACGTGTCCTCAGATGACTTTTCTGGCCTACGTGCAAAACTTCACAAAATGTGATCACATCACGTGATCCGTGTTTTCTTCGGAAATAAGCGTCCTGTGTTGTTATGGTCACTCTTCAACTCGGTGCATGCACCCGTGGTGGGTGGTACAATACTCAATTTCGATAATGAATGGTTGTGGAATTATTGAAATGATTTGAAATTTGAATGGAACATTCTTGAATTGCTGGCAAAACACAAACAAAACAAAATTGTTGAGACGTGATTGCCCTCCCGGGGGAAGTTTCTGTAGAAACGTGCATAAATTTTAATGGCCATTTTCGTAATGTAAGCACATATTGTATGCATATGCCTTTGTGCAGTGTCTCGATACGAAAAAGTATCAGAATTCAAATAGTTGTTGCTACGGTAGGCCTATCGATCCCTACCTCACTACGCAATTTGCACAGGTGAAGAAAATAATTCGCAAAGGCATATGCATAAATTTTGTTAAATTACGAAAATGGGATGTCCACGAACATACACCGATGTTGGATTTCGAGAAACTGGCCCCTGGTAAGCTTGCAGATAGTCTACAATATATATACCTACCGTAGGCTATGCTAATTATTTTTTTGGGCTTTAATACAACATGTGTAGGCCTATATATGCATATCATGTTGATCAAGAATTTTAATAACATGCTGGAAAGGTAATGTAAACTAATAAAATAACCTCTTGCCAATCAATCACCGAATTACACCAATCATGCAAACCACTGCTAAAACTCACTCAGATCCTCTCTCCTAAAGTCTCCAAAAATATATTAACCGAGACCTAAATCAACACACCTCACTCAGAGTAAGTCCAGTGCCAGTCTGCCTGTGTTTTATTACAAAGTATCTAGCATGCTGTTCATGTGCTTCATGCAAAGTATATTCAAATCAAATACATATCATCAACCAATAGCAAAATGGGATTTAATAATAAAACTGAATATTCATAAGGAAAAGGAGAAGAGAACCTATGATAAGTAAGAAGTGGAAATATGCAAATGAGAAGAGAACATACCACCTGTTCTTACTTGAAGCGTTGGTATGTGGAGAAGAATGGTGGAGATGAATGGATGGAATGAATATGCAAATGATGTGAAATGAATATGAATGGAGTAGAAGAGACTAGAGAAACCAATAGTAATTGTGACAAATAAAAGTAGGGAATGAGTCTAATTTTAACTCTTACAGTAACTACAATGTATTCGAAAATCATGAGATAATTACGATCGGCCGCTACACAACTAATGGCAAGGCCATACCCCGTTTCGCCCTTTGTTTTGATGTTTTAGTCATGTACATGACCTGCTGCTCAAAGAATGGAATACAATGTGACCTTCTAGTCTTGGTCTTGTTGATTGACCTCAAGTGACTGCCTGTTACTCTTGTAGGCCTATATACCTATCATTTTGTCTTTAAGTAGTTAAAGGGACCCAATGTATATGGATATTAGCAGCCGATAACGTCGTCTATTAATCAGCACGTATTTCCGTTTAAGCTAGGCAAATTTGTCTTTTGCAACGTCGTAGAGGCATTATGTAAGCCTACATATGCGACAATCACTCAACATAGCTTAAAAGAAAAATTAACTAAATTAACTTTAAAAAACTTCACCATGAAAAACGATATTATTGTCATCACATTAGTAACAATTATGGGCAAGTGTTGGAAAGATTTACATATTTATAAATGAAAATTTCCGACATCTGTTTATTTCTGTCAAGTAATAAATGTTTTATTTCATTCTGAACGACCCTGGTTCACGTCCCTGACCTTGCTTGTTTTTGTTTCACGAGCTACCAGCATGGTGATCAACGTGACTTGCCCATGCTTTGCACTCGATACCCAAACATAAATTAACGCACACGCAAACACACGCGCGCTCCGATCCGCATTCGAGAAGTACCTAGAAAATTATTCTGGCCCGGTGTCTGGATTTGGCTAGACGTGTTGTTGGCAGACCGTTTTTGTGAAAGCATTTGAAGCGAAGCTTTGGCGAGGGAAACATGGAAATTGGAGGTAAGTGAATGTTTTGAAATCATTTGTAACTGTAATCACCTGGAATTATTCTACCATGGAATGTGTGAGCATAATCACGACGAGCGTTTTTCAGGAAATCTTATCTGTTTTTTTTCCTTCTTTACTATGCACAGATTGCCTACTGCAGTGGTCCACTGTACGTTCACCGTGTACGTTCTGCTGTGAGCTGTAACAATAAAGCGATCAGCTGTTCGAGGCCGCCACGCTAGCGCCATTCAAGACGCTTGTTTTTCTGCCACTTTGATGTAGAGAGGCCTTAATTGTTTCGTAATGCCGGGCGTTTTGATACCATCTGAAGCGATGGCTAAAGCAGGGAATGAATTCGACAATGACGGCTTGGATAAAAAGAATGGTTTCGACAGCTCAAATGCTGTTGATATTAAAGGAAATGGCATTGCAGACCAGCACTACATGAAACCGGATTGCTTACCCTTGCAGAAGCTTGATGGAGATTTATACGATTACGAGCATGTATCTACCCCTAGCTGTTCGCCTCCATCATCTTCGCCTCTTGATGCGGATATCGGCTCAAAGGAAGGTATTGAGGATTGGATAAACTCTGGAACCCCAACCAATGGTTCCTCCATGAAGTATTTTACACCTATAAGTCCTATTGTATCTGAGCCAGACGAGGCTGGGGCATGTTCATCCTCGGACAATGGGCACATGATGTGTCCTCAAGCACACCCAGGTCTGGATTGGGATGAACTGTTCGCTCTGACGGATTACATGGGAGTTGCAAACAAAAATCCATACCTCGGTAATAATAATAACAATTGTGTTTCTCTTTTGCCAAACCCCAGAAGTTTGACATCGCCCCCCAAATGTGAAAGCGTGGGCAGTTCTTGTAACGATGTGTTTGACGTGTTTGTAAACCCAGCAGCTTACAGTGCAAGTGATGAAAGTGAAGAAAGGTTATCAAGTGTTGACTCGGAGTCGACGATCAGTGAAACGGACAGTGATGCATCCAGTTCAAGACCTAGGAAATCGAGTATGCGAAAGAGGCCTAGGACCCCACCAGGAAATCCGTCAAGAAAGTCGGTCAGGTTCGCTGATGCTCTTGGACTAGATCTTGAGACCGTTCGCCATATCCTTGAAATGGACCCGTGTCCGTCACCTCCAATGACAGTTTTAGCCTTTGAATCACCATGCCAAACCATCTCCAAGTCCGTCCACATGTGCTTCGAGCAGCCTGGAGGTCATCCAGACTTCCTTCAGAGACTCTGCCAGCAGAACATCTGCCTAGAGAATGCGATGATATCTGAAATGACAGTTATTGGAACCATCAAGGTACGCAACCTGGACTTCTGTAAGGAAGTCCGTGTCCGTTACTCCTGGGACAACTGGACAACACATGCGAACATCATGGCAAGATATGTTGCAGGTTCCTGTGATGGACCAACTGATCGGTTTAGCTTTGGTTTCACCATACCACGGAGATATGTTGGAGTCGGTGACAAAGTATTCTTTGCAGTGTTCTACAAGGTTGCCGGCCGAGAATACTGGGATAACAACAATGGACTGGACTATATGCTTCTCATCGAAGAAAAGGTCAAAACAAAAGCAAAAAGCAGGTGAAGGGTATGTGTCGTAAGTAAATATTTTGATAGATTATTAATAGATATGAAAGTTGTTAATATTATAAGAGGATTATATATTATATTATTGCACTGAAATAGATCACGTCATGACCACTTGAAATTGAAATGTAACGGTGCAATCTTTGAGAAAGTTTATCACAATTTCATGCATTAAAAGTACTATGTCCCATTTGCAGGCCAAAAAAATGGAAAGGTTAAATTCCAACGGCATTTGAAAGATAATACTAATTTAGAACTTCCCTAAAGAAGGTGGGGCTTGAAAATGTCTTCGAGTGGGAAAATTACGACTATTAGTTGTCAAATCGACTTAGGAGCTATAGAGCCCATAAGTAATAGTCTTGATTTTCAGACCATTGTACCTAATGGTCATACGTTTTATGCTGCGCAAAGGATCAATCAGTTTAATTTTGACCATCACAAGAAGTGGGTTATTGATGTAGACGAATGCTCATGTACCCTTTACAGCTCATTTTATTTATGTTATTACCAAAGAAGAAAAAAGCCAGTCAGTCACTCAATTGTGTCTGACAGTGCTGTCTTGCAAGTAAACGGGTTTCCTTGCATAATTTGAATATTAGGACACTGCTAACGTTTAAATTTCACAGATAGGACAAACATGACATATTCATAATTCCTGCAAAGTTCTACAGAATTTGAGGTTGGCTGCAAAAGGGACATAGTACCTTTAATGTTGACATTTTATTGTATGAATGGCGACATATTCACTATAACATCATTAAAAAAACAAAGATTATATTGTACTGTTGTACATAAACAAAAGCAATCTTTTCAGGAAAAAAGGGCTTTTATTCTCACTAGTCACTACAGTATATCCAGATGTAGTTAATAAGTTACAACCATATTTTCATCGTTTAAAGAGGAACATTTCATAATTCAGTATAGAATCACAGAAAACCCCAAAACAATATAGTTTATTGCCTTTGGGGGAAAACATGGTTGCATACTAGTGAACATTTTTGATTTGTAATAGCCATATTGCTTACCCTTGCCATTTTATATGATTATTGGGGCTACCAGTCTGAATGAATTTGTTATTCAACTTGAGCGCATTTATGTCAAAGCCCCTTCTTGTGTGTTTCTGAAGACGAGAAACTCTTTGAACAAAGTTAGAAGGTATGCTTGCAGTATACACAAGGAACACTGTTATGACTGCATACTGGAAAGCTAGGACACTTACAACAACAAAACGATAAGAGAGAGAGAGAGAGAGATATGGAGGTGCTTACCATTGTCCTGTTGGTCGCTCTAGTTCTTCTTTTATCTCAGAATGAATTTGGACAATGGCAGTTTCTCGGTCAATGCCATACTATTTTTATCGAGTTGGACCCTTTGATAATGTTAGATCGAGAGGTGTCTTCTTGCACTTCCACTTAGGACAACTCGTACATAATGCTTTGAAAGCTAAACAAACCACTCTAGTGAAAGATATTTCTATTTTTGTGCAACTAAAAGTTTACAAGATCTCTGTGTTTTATTTCCTACATTCTCTTAGTGACTGAGACTCCCCCATGTCCCCCTAAAATTGAAAATGTTTTTTTCTTCAAATGTTCTTCAAGAAATAACTTGAAGTTTATTGCAAATAAAGTCTACACTTGTCTTCTTCACATTGTGCAAAGTTCAGTCTGAGGATATTTGAAACCTTTGAGTCAAAAGTATGATTCTTTATTTATCATTCTTTTACACCCAGCCATAAAACAGAATCTTAACTTTATAAGTTGTGAGTCATATTTGACTGATGGAAATTAATGTCCTTATCTGTAAAGCAAACGGTCAGTGACCTTTCAATATTTACATTAATATATTAAGTAGCATATTATTGACAGAGATAAGAAACAGATTGTATATCACTATCAGAAAATGTTCGGTTCCCGCTCTTTCAGTAAGAATCGTTCTGAAACCAGGGAATCTGTCCTTTCGTGAAAATCTGTCCTTTCGTGTGAATCTCTTGAGACATGCACGAGTTGTATTAGCATTAGTAGAGTATAGGTAGTTAGAAATACATATATTGGTCTACATGGCCTCCATAATTCAAACGGTGAACTATATTATCTTCATTGAGAAGGTGATTACTCGTCAAGTAATCTGGAAGCTAGACTAATGTTCTGTTAAAGGTCGGGTGATATCCAAATATAAGTTGATTCCTGTCGATGTGCAGGGCCGCATACAACTCATATTTAGTTATTCAAACGTCTAAATATATAGAGGACATATTTTTGAAATATTTTTTTTGGTCCCTAAAAAATCGAAACGACTCGGCCAGCCGCTGAATAAGCGGGTGGGGGGGGGGGGGGGGGGGGGGGGGGGGTAAGATATATATTATTGGTCCCTAAAAAATCGCAACGACTCAGCCAGCCAGTACAAGTATTTTTGGGCACAAAGTGCGCAAGAAATAAATGTTTGGCAGATTTATCAATGTCTTCACAATATTTTAAGGATGAACAACATACATGTACATGTATCCTTGAAATGATAGCCATGAAATACTGATCGTCTTATTGTTCGTAAAGATCTACATTTGAGTCACAGTCATTGATATTGAAACGGGTCACATAAATAGAGAATAGTATCTCAATACATGCAGGTATTGTTTTTTTTTAATTCAAAACATGTCTGTGTACATGTATACTAAATTGTTTCATAACACAAACATCGTACTATTGTATAAGTCGTAAATTAGTGGTTAAATTAGTGGTTAGTTTATCTATTGTTTGTGGTAATCCAGGTCATCAAAATATGTGCGATTTGTATACATGTGTTTATTCGGTGAGTTTCAAGTTAACTAAAATCCATATGAATATACCTCGCTCTTTTTTAAACAAACATGATTAATCACGGCTCTAACCCATCGGATTTAGGAACATTTACCTCATATGCATCTGTTAGAATAATATGTATCGACTTGCGCAGTTATGCTTTCTGTTTTATAGTACATACATGTAGGCACAAACCATGTAAAGCTGCATTTGTAGATCTATGTATATGAAGTCGTTAGTGTTTTCTAGATTTATGTAATGTACTTAAATTATTTTTCTTATCACAATTGGTTTCGCATTCTTTTTATATACTAGTTTTCTTTAACTTATCCCTTCTCAGATTATTAGGTGGTCTGTCGATGACAGATCACCTATTGATTTCGTTAGAATTTTCTTTCTTTATTCTTTATTCTTTATTCTTTATTCTTTCTTTATTAGGTGGTCTGTCGATGACAGATCACCTATTGATTTCGTTAGAATTTTCTTTCTTTATTCTTTATTCTTTATTCTTTATTCTTTCTTTATTTATTTTTATTTATTCCGTACACTTTTTTTGTGTATACGTTTACTCGAACTCGACCTGGTCAATTTCCTTCAAATTTCTGCTAGTCATCAGGCCCTATGATATGAAGTTCCCGAAACCTTTTTCAAGTTCATGGGGTCATCGTGACGTCATCCAGGCGCCATTTTGTAAAAATCAGGTCATTATCATATCTCAATAACGAGTAATCAAAAATAAACCATATTTAGTATACATCAACTTCCGGTCAAAGGTCAACTAAAAATGTCAACAAAATCCGTGCGCGCACCTCGACGCGCACGTACGCCCGCTTAAAATTTTTAAAATGCTCCAATTCATCCCAAATTTTGTTTGCACACGTTTCAGGTCATTTTAAGCATTTCAAAATTTTCCGTCCGTAAGTGTCCCCGCGCGCGTTGCGCGCGCTCACAGCGCGCGTAAAAAGTCAAATTTAATTTTTTTTACATGATTTAGATTCCTCTTACCGTAAATGACAATTTACATTAATTTCAGTCACTCTTGACCTTTCATAAGGCCGTGAGCGCGCGTCAAAGTTCAAAATCCGCGCGTGCTGCTATGGGCAATATAATGCAGATTTGATCAAAAACATGCCATTTTAAAAATCAAAATAGCTCTTCAGATAGTCCATTGACCCCCAATTTTTATATCATGGTTGGAAAAAGCATGAGTTGGAGATATGAATTCATGTCTCATTTGATCCTCAATTAACTCATGACGTCATCATAATGGCCTCCGAACTCAAAATTTCAATTTGCATATTATGACGTCAGCAGATTTTTGAAAAATTGATTGTATCTCTGTAAATATTGATCAATTTTCTTTCAAATTTTGATATGTTCTACCTGAGAATATTCTCTACAAAGGCAGTTGACACAATATTTCATTTTGACAATGGTATCATGGCGTATTTTTGCGATTAAAGGAGGCATGTCAATTTTTCACATTTTGCGTGTATTCTCTATGGGACATGATTTTTTCTCAAAACTGTATTCTACATTCTCGTATTTTGCGAGCAATATCTCCGTATTGTTATCTTCGTTTACGCTGAGCTTTGAGTATGTTTTAGCTGAGACAATAAGCTATCACAAGTGTGCCCTTTATTTTTCGATCAGATGCCGGGATCATGCTCATATTTCACTTACAAAGTGGGATTTCAGAATTCCATTTTCCGTTTATGCGCACGTTTGTGTTCGTAATGGTCGTACGCAACCTAGAATCTCCTTTTTTTTGTCTATCATAGTATTGCCCATTTTATTCCGAACAATTTGATACCATGTTTATCTCTTTATGACCATTAATAACGAAATGAGCGTCCGTTCAAGGTAAATTCCGTTCGAACATTCAATTAACTCATGACGTATTTATGATGGCCTCCGTTCAAGGTAAATGTCCGTGCGTGCGAGCTCTTGTAATACATAGCATATATGGGCAAAAACATGCCTATACAAAATCCATTGTAGCTCTTTAGGATGCAAGATGAGCCCATTTTTTTTTTTCATATCTTGATAAAGTATGAGTCGGAAATATGATTTCATGTCTCATTTGACCCTCAATTAACTCATGACGTCATCATAATGGCCTCCGAATTCAACATTTCAATTTGCATATTATGACGTCATCATATTTTGGGAAAATTGATTGTATCTCTGTAAATATTGATCGATTTTCATCCAAATTTTGATACGTTTTAGCTGAGACAATTCTCTACAGATGCAGTATCCACAAATTTTCATTTTGATGAAAACATCATGGCTTTTTTTTGCGATTAAAGGAGGCATGTCAATTTTTTACATTTTGCGTGTATTCTCTATGGGACATGACTTTTTCTGAAAACTGGATTCTACATTTCCGTCTTTCACGAGCAATATCTCCGTCGTCTCAGCTTAGTTTTCGCTGAGCATCGAGTATGTTGTAG